TTCGATTTGGAACAAAAATATAGTGTTATAACTGAAGAAATAAACTTGGTGTTAAAACTGAAAAAAAAAAAAAAAAAAAAAAAAAAAAAAAAAAAAAAAGTTAGTATCTTTTGTGGGAAAAAAAAATCAATTTTGTCATGTCTATATGTCATGTCAGTATATCATGTCGTCATACCATGTTAATATGTAACCGGATTAACCGATCAAGATGTTAGAATTGTAACAAATGAATAGCACAGTGATAATTTTGAAAAAAAAAACACAGTGTCGAATAAAATTTTATGTAAATTTAATGACTTTAGTGATATTTTTCCTTTAGAAAAATTATTAAGCAAGACACCTTGCCCCGATGGATATAATAAATTTTAGGTCTTGGGACAAATGTATATGCTTTTAAGAACGTGATAACATTTGTGAGACAATTTAGAAACAATGTATCATATTTATATAACAATGTGGTTTTTAAAGGAAAAAAAAAATATTTTTACCATTTAAAATGTAATAAAAATATTTATACGGTTATTCAAATAGAAAATGTTCAACAGTCAACAAAATTGGACAAAATGATGTTCGATTTTGGAAAAAAGAAATAAGAGTGTTAAAATTGAAAAATGAAAATTTACTATCTTTTGTGGAAAAAAATAATTTTGCCACGTCAATATGTCATTTTTACATGTTATGTCATCATGTCATGTTAACATACAATTGGGTAAACTGGTTAAGTTGTCAGAATTATAACAAACTGAATGATTTAATGTCAAATTTGAGAAAAAAAAATGTAGTGTCAAACTAAATTTTTGTGTAAACTTAATGACTTTTGTGGTATTTTTCCTCTAGAAAATTTTTATGCAAGACATGTTGCCCCGATAGATATAATAAATCTTAGATCTTGTGACAAAAATACACGCTTTTAAAGAAGGTGGTAACATTCTTTTGACAGTTTCAGAAACAAGGTGACGATGGGCATAGGTCTGACGGACAGAAGTGACAGACAGAAATAACGAGCATAAATACATGGCCGAACGTGCATAGCCATGGCACAACATGACCAAAAAGACATAGCTCACCCAAAATGCATGACCTCACATTTTACTTCTAGATCACGATTCGGATCGATGAACATACTTTCCACTTAATTCAGATGATAGGTAATTATATCTTATAAATAGCGAAGGTTTGCGGTCCGGAAGTGAGGCAGAAAAACTATAATACCTTACTTTTAGCTTTGATCGATTTCTTCTTATTGAACTGAATTTACCATCGGAGTGTCATCTTGGGTCCCCACTCGATATTGTTTCAGTTATCACTGGAGTCAAGCTAAACAAAGGACAGAGCGAAGATCCACGGAAAGTCTCTTTATCTTAACCATCTTGAGAACCCATGTATTCATCATTGGCGCCATCTGTGGGACCCTGCACAAAAACCACAAAGGCGGACATGACTTTTGGATAAAGTCCTCTCACAGTCATATCCGATTGTTTCCTAACTTGGGAGAACAATTGGTTGTAACCAATATCACTTCCGGTGAGATCAGATTCTTCTTGTCGACAACTGAAGCATCCGGCGTATCACCCATCACACCCATCATGATCTCTACGGTATCGATTGTAACGCTCACACCCACGATGCTGCTGATAGTAACGCCCACATCCACGATGCCAGTAGTAACGCTCGCACCCACAATAGTGATCCCTGGAAGTATAACGAGACTAGATCATGGTTTGCGTCCCATTAATCACACCACACAACAACCAAATAATGTAATCTAAACATTTTGACCTCGAACATAAATGACAACGAGATCATGAGGAAGAAGAGTTCATATATAAGATGTACTCGGATCAATCAACAAAGATAGGAGTTTCACTTCCTCCATCACTTAAGAACGAACTCTGAAAACTCCTTCAAGACAACATGGATATTTTTGCTTGGACACCTTCTGATATGGAAGGAATATCCCAAAACTTCGTTGAACAGAAGCTTAGCCTTATCCTAGAAGATCATCCTATCAGGAAAAAGAAACGCACGTTGGCAGGTGAAAGGAGCAAAGCGGTGAATGAAGAGGTCAATAAATTGGTCAAGGCAAAGATTTTAATAGAATCCATATTCCCCGTGTAGATATCCAACCCAGTATTGGTTATGAAAGGAGACGGATCATGGCGTATGTGTATGGACTATACAAGTCTCAGTAAGTCTTGTCCTAAGGATTTCTACCCCCTCCCCGAAATCGACTAAAAAGTTGAATCTCTAAAAGGCTTCCGATGGAAGAGTTTCCCAGATGCTTTCAAAGGATATCATCAAATTCACATGGAAAAATACATTGAAGATAAAACAACTTTCTATATAGATCGAGGCACCTTTTGTTACACCAAAATGTCATTCAGTTTAAAGAATGCAGGAGCCACTATACCAACGCATGGTGGATAAAGTTTTTAAAGATTAAATAGGAAGCAATGTAGACGCTTACGTGGACGACATGGTTATAAAATGTAAGGGGGGTGAAACCCTTATTAGCGAAATAAATGACACATTTTGTAAGCTAAGAGAAGTAAATATGAAGCTAAACCCGGCTAAATGCACGTTTAGTTTGGAGGGGGAAAAGTTTTTGGGGTACATAGTCTCTAACAATGGAATCCAAGCAAATCTCGATAAAGTGGAGGCCCTAGCCACCATGCGACCCCCGAGAACTTTGAAAGAGATACAAGGCCTCAATGGCAAACTGGCAGTGCTAGGTCGATTCCTTGCTAAGTCGATAGAGAAGTCGTTATCTTTATTCAAGACCCTTAAGGGATGCATAGATAAGAAATATTTCCTTTGGACACAAGAAGCCTACGAAGCCTTCACCGATTTAAAAGAGAGTCTCAAATAACTCCCAACATTGGGTTGTCTAATCCCTAGGGAAACGCCAATGATCTATCTTTCCGCCACGTTAAAATCCATTAGTGCAGTGTTGGTCACCGAAAGAAACAAAAAACAGGTCACTATATACTTTTTCAGTCGAGCATTGCAGGGCCCGGAGATAAACTACCCCCCAATGGAGAAGCTGACGTTGGCTCTTGTTCATGCAGCAAAACGACTTAGACGTTATTTTCATGCACATCCCATATTGGTACTCACCGATCAACCTATTCAACAGGTATTGCTCAAACTAGAGCGCTTTGGAAGGATGGCTAAGTGGGCGGTGGAGCTAGGTGAGCACGACATAGAGTACCATCCAAGAATAAGCATTAAGGGACAAGCATTTACAGATTTCCTTTTTGAGATCTTGCGAGATAAATACGCCCAAACCACTGTAGAGTCCCATATGCAAGATCGGACCAGTCATCATAATGGTCGCATATAAAAGGAAAATATTGATGAAGAAAATTGTTGGACATTGTTCACAGATGGAGCCTCGAACAATCATGGAGCAGGGACAGGTCTTGTACTCACTAGCCCCATTGGAGAAACAGTCACGTACACATTACGTTTTGACTTCGAAACTTCCAATAATGAGGCTGAGTCCGAAGCCCTTATTGTGGGACTGAATTTGGCACGACACCTTGGAGCAAAAAACTTAAAGGAATTTAGTTATTCCATGTTGGTGGCAAACCAAGTAAACGGATCAAATGAAGTACGCGAGCCACATCTACGGAAGTATTTGAGTACGGTAAAAAAGTTATTAGTGGGTTTAAAACATTTATGAACAAGAAGGTTCCCCGATCGAAAAACAAGTAAGCAGATGAGCTAAGTAAAATGGCAGCCACAACTTTCCCCCATCTCACAAAGGAATTGCTTGTAGAAATACTACGAAAATGTAGCACAGAAGAAAAAGAAGTAAACGACATCGGCTCCACCACTCAGAAAGACTTTTGGATGACTCTTATCTAGAAATACCTAGTCCATGGAATCCTACCCAAGGACGATAGAGAAGCTAGAAAGATCATAATCAAATCCCCAAGCTTTTTCATGAGGCAAGGAGTGCTTCACAAGAAGGGTTATTTAATTCCATGGTTATGATGTGTTGACCATGACGAAACCAGTTATGTCCTAAGAGAAAATCATGAGGGGATATGTGGAGCTCACTCGGGCGTGAGAACAGTTGCTAAGAAGATAATGCGCATGGGGCATTTATGACCAACAATATACAAATATGATGGGCCCCTAGTTAGAAAATCTTTGGAATGTCAGCAACACTCTCCAATACCCCACCTTCCTGCAACAATAATGGTCATCATCTCCAGCCCTTGGCCATTTCATCAATGGGGAGTGGACTTGGTTAGAACCTTGCCAGAAGCGCTTAGAAAGGTGAAATTTCTTATAGTATCAGTTGACTACTTCATGAAATGGATAGAAGAGGACCCATTAGCAGTAACAGATGGGAAAAATGTTACCAAGTTCTTATGGAAAAATATAATTAGCAGGTTCGGCATGCCAAATACAATATTAAGCGATAATGGTAAGCAGTTTGTAGAAAATCCTTCCAAGCAATGGTGCATCGATATGAAAATAGAACATAAGTTCACCTCAGTAGCATACCCACAGGCTAATGGTCAAGTTGAAGTTACTAACAAAACCAATGTCAAAGGGATAAAAACAAGGCTATCCAATGCTAAGGGATGGTGGATTGACAAGCTCCCTAGTGTTCTGTGGTCATACCGAACGAC